TTTTTGTGTTATGAGTCATAACAGTAATATAATTACAGTTATGAAGTAGCAACAAAAAGAATTTTGTAGTTGGGCATCACCACACATGGGGAACCATATTAAAGTGTTACAGCATTAGGAAGGTTGAGAACCACTGCTCTGGGGAGTTACCTAGGAGCTTTACTGGAGAGACTGGAGAGCTGGAGGAGGCAAAAATGGGCAGAAAGAAAGAAGTGTGGCGGGGAGTGACTGAGAGAAGGGAGGGAGAATCAAGCAGGGACAATGGCTCTGTCCACTGGGTTGAGATTTTCACTCTAGCCTAGACATGGTATCACTAAAAACATCAATCAGACCTAGCCACTCCACTTCAATGTATGTAATCATGTAAACCAAAACAGTCTTGCATAAAAACCTGTGCACAGATAGATAGGTACGGTAGCTTTAATCCTAACTGCTAACCATTAGAAACAACTTTGCTCTTCAGCTGATGGGTAAAGAAAGTGGAACGTTGTTGGTTGACTACTACACTGCAATGAACAAGATGGATGTGTTACACCTGGCAATCCCAGTACATTTCAATGACCTGGACCAAAAGAGCCAGGCACAGAAGAACACACTGTGAATGATTGCATCTATGTGACACTCTGGGAAAGTTGATTCCAATCTGCAGTGATGTGAGGCAGATGAGTGGCAACCTGGGGACAGCTGACTGCAGAGGACTTTGATGCAATCTGAACACAGATGTAGCAGAACTCTCTCTGACTAGGTCAGGGAGGACCAGAGGCAAAGTGAAAAACTGAGTAGCGCTTACCAGCCTCCCTCCTCTCCCTCTGACACAGGCCCTCCTCTAAATCCCTTCTGCAGATCCCACTCCAAAGCCCTGCTGTACAGGCCCAGACTGGCAGTCAGAGACTCTGGGACAAAAGATGTCCTAGAAACCAATGTGTTGGCAGAGCTAGGCAAGAGGCTGTGCCCCGCAAGGAGAAGAAAAGGTTTTGATGACCAATGGACCTCTGGCGAGCCATGACTCATTCCATGGAGTCACACTGGCTATCGAAAGAGGCATGCCTGCCTTCCTATTAACCTAGGCCACACAGAAACAACAGCCACCTGTCATCCCGAAGGACTTGATCTCTTTTTTTATATTTTCATACATTTGTGTGTATGTGTAACGTGTGCACAGGTGTGTATATATGTATGCAGGTGCACTTGCCTGTGCTTTCATGGTTGCTTGAGTTCTGAGTCTTTCATGGTTGCAAAATGTCTTCTGTCATTTTGGATAAAGGGTCTCATTATGTAGCTCTCGCTTGTCTAGAACCAACTGTATAAACTAGAATGACCTTGAGCTCTCAGAGATCTTTGCCTTCCAAGTGCAAGGATTAAAGGCCTGTACTACAGCACCTGAGTAGCCCATGGTGACACCTGGCTTCAAACCTGCTCTTTCTTAATCACTACCTCCTCAAAGCCCTTCCAGGAGTCACACTGCCAACACCAGGGGACCCTGACTCTTAGTCTCCCTAGCTGAGTCTTTAATCTCCTCTCCAAACCTACCTAGCCTTTGCTATCTCCCCTGATAGTGCCCTTGCCTCTCCTCACTGATGTGACTCCTACTCGTTCTTCAAAGGCAAGGTCATATGCTTCTTCCTCTGGGGAGCCTCTTTTTCCCCTTTAGCCAAGCTCTCAGAAAGCTCATTTGAGCTCCTCACACATGGCCCAATAACCCAGAAACCTTTGTGTTATTTCTCCATTCACCTTTGGCTCGGACATGATGCCCCAGAGTGGTGGATCATCTCACTCAACAGCCATGCATTATAGAGTCAGTGGATTAATGTCCGTGCCTCTCTGACAAAACACCGGGCAAAAATGGCTTAAGGAAGGGTTTATTTAGCTCATGGTTTAAGGGCACAGCTTCTCATGTCAGGGATCATGTGACAGCAGGGTCCTGAGGCAGCTGATCACGATAGGTCCAGGTCTGGACGCAAAGAGAAATGAGTGCTGTTGCTCAGCCCACTTTCTTCCTTTTATTATTCTGGGACCCCAGCCCATGTGCTAACGCTGTCCTCATTCAGGGTAGGTCTTCCCTCCTCAGTTACACCTCTCTGGAAACAACCTCACAGACATATCCAGAGGTGTGTCTCCTAGGCTATTCTAAAAGTAATCAAACAGAAAAAAAGATTGACCGCCCTAGCCAGCCATGTGCCAACTAAGCCCTTTGTATCCTCCAGTCTTGACAACCACTTTGGGAGGGGGCTCTATTGTGTCCCTCCATTTACAGATGGAGAAAGTTGGCAATAGGTGGACATACTAACTCAAGTTCATGTGGCTTATATGTGACAGAAACCAGATCTTTCACCATGACAGAATGACAAGACTATCCTCACCATGGAGACAGTGATGGAGTCCATACAAACGTACAAAAGACTCCTAGCAATCTTGCCTCATGAGTAAGAGAGTCAGGAGCAGAAAAAATAAAGCCAATTATCTAATTGAGACAAGAGGTGACAAGTTTTATTAGCAGGGACTTCATGAGATTGAGAAACGTTGGTCTGTGGACATAAGTGCTCTGCAGTGCATTGAGTAGGGTTTTGCGGCCTTATAAAGTCAAAGAAGGCGGGAAAATATTTGTGAGTCACAGGCATTGTTGACACTAAGAAAATGAGTCTGGGAAGATGGCTGGGGGTGGAGTGGTGGGGGGTAAAGCAACAGGTGTAAGGATCTGGGTTCAAACCTCAGAATCCAAGGGAAGCCGGACGTGGTGGTGAATCCCTTCAATCCCAGGGTTTCCCCAGTGAGATGAGGGGTGGAAGCTTCAGGGCCAGCCAGCCTAGTGTGTGCAGCAGTGAACAAAAGACCCTGTCTCACACAAGATAGAAAGCAAAGACTGACAGTCAAACTGTCCTCTGAGCTCCAAACCTGTGGCATCTGCATACCCATACTCAGAAGAGAATATGCACTCACACACTCACGCTCTCACGCACTCATGCACTCACACACTCACACACACAAGAATGCACTGCTCACAATTTTGAAAAGAAATATTTAGGAAGCTGGGTACGGTGGCGAATGTCTTTAATTCCAGAATTTGAGAGGCAGAGTCAGGTGGATCTCCATGAGTTCAAGGCCATCCTGGTCTACATAGTGAGTTCCAGGACAGCTGTAGCTGCATAGTGAGACTCTGTCTCAAAAAATCAAAACAAAACAAAGAACATATTTTTTGTTCATTAGCCAGGAGTTCTGAAACATCTCAAGATATTAACTTTTTTTTTGTTTGCTTTGCTTTTTGAGACTGGGGAGGAGTCTGAGCATGGAGCCCAGGGTAGCCTGGAACTCACCACATAGCTTAGTCTCAAACTTGTAGCAGTCCTTTTGAGGGCTGGCAGTACAGGTGTGTGCCACCATGGCTGGCTCAACACATACACTTTGGTGGTTGACATTTTCAAATCTCTCATGACCTGAAGAGATGTTAACACTTCCTTTTACTTTCTGTCATGAGGATTGCATGTGCTCATTGTTTGTCTCAGACTTGGAGTCTTATGTATCAAGGAAACGAAGGAGCTTAGACAATCAATGCAGGACCTAGCTGTCCAGGCCAGGAGCTTCACACCAGAGCAGAGCAGGGTGGTCAATACACAAGCTGGGCAGATTAACCTGTGTCACAGTTCTGTTACTGTCGTGGTGATCTTGAGTGATCTGTTTATCCTCTCTGGGTCCCAATCAGTTTTTAAAATGAGCTAATGATAGCATCTCCTTCACAGGTAATGTAAGCATTAGACCAATTGCCGTCACTTTGTAAATGATACTGTGACCCACCTTGTCTTGCTGACATCTGGGCTTGCTTTTCTCATCCCCTACTCACTGGAGGTACTTCTAATCAACAGCAAAACAGACAATGGCCAAGCCTTGAAAAGACTTAAGCTCAAGAGGAAAGAGTAAAAAAAGAAACTAAACAAGGCAGGCACGTCCAGGAGGCAGAAATGGAAAGAGTATAAATTTGAGGCTACCCTGAGGTAATTGGTAGGCTTCAGGTTTACCTGAATATTGAGACCCTGCCTCAGAAAAATAAAACAAAAGAAAATAAACAAGACCGTCCTCAGTATGATGGAGTGAACTAAACTAATAACTACAGTGGCTGAGGAGCTAAAAGATGGGCAGAGGCCCAAGTCACCGAGCCTACTCAAGGACAGGCACCTGGAGAAAGCAACACTTGAGCAGGCGTAGTACAGAGGAACAGCATCCAGCTTTGCAAAGTGTGGAGAATGAGGAGAATGGCTTCAAAGAAAGTTAAACTAGATGCAGATGCTCTTGTTAGTCTAACATGGACTAGAGATGGGGAGAAGAACGGCTCACAGTAGAGCAGTTGACAGCAATAATGGGAAAAGCAGAAGGCAGCCTTATTTCTCAGAGGCAGAGCCAGGCCCATCTTTAGTCCAGTGCTGGGTTTCTTGGTTAAATTCTCTCAGTTCTCACATAACATTTCCATTCCCTGCAGGACGGATTCTATCTGAGTGTGTCGTATTTAAGTTGCATAACCCCCATTTTACTGTTTGTATATGACGGAGATGCCTCAGCCTCCTGCCTTTGCACCCTCACCTTGACTTGTCTGTTTCTGCTGAGGCTCCTTTGTGAGTGTTGAACTTGTTGCTCTGGGTGGTTCATGGCCACCTTATCCTGTCTGCACTCCCAGTGATGGACAGGATGCTTTCAGAGTCCTGACAGCACAGGGCAGGGTTCCATAAACTTTCCCACTCTGGACCCTTTCGCATCTGGAAATTAAGATTATAAAATAAGCATACAAATCATTCAGTGGGAAAATCACAAAGCAGTGTACTTCATAATAATTCATTGGTATGCCCAGTAGTGTACCATTTGCTAATGACTCATTAAAGAACATTTCTGTACTAATGAGATGGGTGTGCTTGTTTTTTTTTTTTTAAAGGTCTTCACATTTTTATTCTTTGTGCACAAAGACTAGCATGATCGGTTTCACTGGGTAGACGGTCGGATAAGCCAGTCAAGGTTGCTTAGTCCAGCTTAGTGAAGCCTATGTCCTTTGCGTACTGACAGAAGCACTGACAGCACATGTTCAGCCTGTATTTACGGATCAGACTGTGGCGGTTAGAGCAGACGCAGCAAGAGCGAGAGCCCTGGCTGAACTTCCAAGGGTGACTCCCGTAGAGCTGCTGGTGACCCATCTTGCCTCCAGATGCCCAACGAGGAAAAAGGGCTTGTTTATTTTTATACAATAAACAAATAAATATTTCCTAAGTGTTTGAGGTGGCAGAATATGGCATCTTCGATATCTTTCAGAGTTGACTGACATTTTATTTTATAATCGGAGATACCTCTTCTCAGAAACAAATAGTACAAAATGACAGATGTATGTTTGGCATATTTGAGAACTTGTTGGAATTTCTGTTCTAATTCCAAGACAAAATTCATTTAGAGTTTTACTATTGCCAAATTTTTGTCACTCCTCATATTCGGCATCACTACAAGGGGTTATGGCCCACAGCTTAGGAAGTTAAACAGCAAATCTGCTTATGTACATATTGTTAGCATTCTGTCTAAACTCCACCCCACCATTACCTAGCAACAGCCAAGGAGGCCTGGCCCACTATAAAAGGGGCTGCTTGCACCTTCCTCTCTTGCTCTCTTGATCTCCTGCTCTCTTGCCTTCTTGCTCCTCCTCTGACCCCTTACCCCTTCCCCCTTCCCTCCCCCCTCTCTCCACGTGCTCATGGTTGGCCTCTACTTCTCTACTGTCTCTCTCCCTCTGTCTCTACTACCCTCTTAACTCCCCTTCCCCTGCCCTGAATAAACTCTATTCTACACTATACTGTTGTGTGGTTGATCCCTCAGGGAAAAGGGATGCCTCGACATGGGCCCACTGAGACATCCTCTTCCCCCATACCTCACCACACACCCAAAGAACATATTCTATATCTCTTTATCTTTTTATAAACACATCACATATTCATTCTTTTCTTTTCAAAATATTTTCTCTGATTTACTCATCTTATTTTGTGTGAGATTGGCGTGTGTGTGTTTGTGCATGCGCGCACACACACACATATGAGTGCAAGTGTGTGTGCTCAGTGCCTAAGAAGGTCAGAAGAAGGCATCAGAGTCCCTGGAACTGGAGTTACGGATGGCTGTGAAGCACTATGTGCATGCTGGGAGCTGAATCAAGGTCCTCTGCAAGAGCAGCAGGTGCTCCCAGGTGCTGAGCCATCTCTGCAGCTCCTGCTTTGCTTTTTGTGACACTGGAGGCTGGATCCAGGCCTATGGCTCAGCCCATCAATCCCAACCTCCTGTGGCCTGTAAGAGACTCCCCTGGGGGGGGGGGTGTTTGAACCAACTTTGCTATATCGACATCTATGTTAACTAACGATCCCAGATCAAGTGTAGCTTCAGTCTCTTCTTACATGCGGACATAATACAGCAAACGTCCATCTCCACATCACCACCAGCATTGGCCATCATTCAACTGCCTATGGCTTTCCAATTTAATAGCTGTCGTGAAATTTCACTGTGCTTTTAGTTCTTATCTCTTTGTCTTCCCTCTGTGTTGGTCTTCTCTTCCATGTGTCATCTCTGTTAATACAGCATTTAAGGGAGAGTGCTTTGTTATTTTACTCTGCATAGAAAGTCACTTCTGCCTGTGCCATCAATTAAACACATGATTTGTTGCCTATTGAGCTGTAGAGCAAATATCCATGATTTTGAGCATCTTTCCAGTACCTGCTCACTTTTTGGGGTTTCTCCTTCTAAAGGTTACAGGTTCAAATTTCTGATACCTTTTTTTTTTAAAGATTTATTTTTATTTTTGTGAATGTGTGTGTGTGTGTGTGTGTGTGTATTTCCCCTCAGAGGCCAGAAGATGGTGGCAGACCCCTTGGAATTGGAATTACATTGGAATTACTGGAATTAGCTGTGAATTGCCCAAAATAGGTATTGAGAACAATTGAGAACAGCAAGTGCTTAACCACTGCAATCCCTCCAGCAGCATCATGGTCATCTTTTTCTTGTGAATTATGTCAGGATCCTTTGTGTATTAGACGTTAATCATCTTGTGGTTTGCAAATGCATTGCAAATATATTCTGTCAGCTAACATTTTCTACGACATAGAAATGTTTGATTCTTTTCTTCTTTGCTGCTTTTTTTTTTTTTGAGACAGTCTCAGGTAGTCCAGTCTGGACTTGAATTTCATCTGTGTCAAAGGATGACCTTGAACTTCTGATCCTCCTGCCTCCACCTCCCAAGTGATGAGATTACTAGTGTTTAGTGCCATGCCTGACTTAAAATTTTCAAATCTTATGCAATCAAATTGAGAAATGATTTTTGCTTTATGGTTAATGATTTCAAAATGTTTGTTGAAAATTCTTCTCTGGAGTCTGGAGGTATATATTTCACTGGTTAAGCACATGCCTAACATGTATGAAGCCAGCGTTCAATGCTCAGCACCAGAGAGAGAGAGAGAAAGAGAGAGAGACAGAGAGACAGAGAGACAGAGAGACAGTCAGAGAGAGAGGCAGAGAGACAAAGAGAGAGAGAGACAGAGAGAGACAGAGAGAGAGAGATGGAGAGAGACAGAGAGAGAGACAGAGACACAGAGAGAGACAGAGACAGAGAGGGACAGAGAGAGAGAGAGAGACAGAGAGGGACAGTCAGAGAGAGAGACAGAGAGAGACAGAGACAGAGAGGGACAGAGAGAGACAGAGAGAGACAGAGAGACAGTCAGAGAGAGAGACAGAGAGAGACAGAGAGACAAAGAGAGACAGAGAGAGACAGAGGCACAGAGAGAGAGATGGAGAGAGACAGAGAGAGAGAGAGATAGAGAGATGGAGAGAGACAGAGAGACAGAGAGCGAGTCTTTCCTGTTTCCTGTTACTAGGACACATACTGTTTTCTGTCAGGTTGGCATTTGATCCTTTATGTGCCAGTCTTATTTACAGTCTGTCTTTTTATGTAGCACTAAGTGAAGTACTCTTATTTTTACTCCATGTAGCCCACCATGTTTACAAATCATGTTAGTGTTAGTTTGTGTTTTCTCTGTTGATCTGCATTGTCAATGTGTGTGTGTGTGTGTGTGTGTGTGTGTGTGTGTGTGTGTGTGTGACGTATATATGCACCTCTCATTACTGAGATAACACATATGTGCTTCTATCCTTGGCCTTTTATAAAGATATTTTTTTACTTAAAAAATTATATGTGTATGTCTGTGTGTGACTTTGTGCAGGTGCCCACAAGGCTCCGAAAAAGTTGACAGCCCCTTGGAGCTAGAATTATAGGTGGCTGTGAGCTGCCTGGTGTAGATGCTGGGGATTAAACCTGGGTCCTCTACAAGAGTAGCACATGCTCTTAACCACTGAGCCATTCCTCTAGCCCTGTAAAGACATTTTTAATCACATATTAAGCTCCCTTAAATGACCAAGGTTTTGCTGGGCATGATGACAATTCCTCTTTGCCTTGCATTCCTGACTCACATCTAAGCTCACAGCCACCTTCTCTAGAGTCCTCGGAAGGGACAGCTGGCTTTAACCCAGCTCCATCCTGACCCTTCCCTTCTATGATGACGTCTTGTCTCATTCTGGCACATAGCAGGCAAGTAACTTCTTATACATGTGTCCACTGGGTCCCCACCACAAGAGGTTGTAGACTCCATGTAGGTCAGAAGTGCCAGGAAAGGTACAGAGGAAGAAACTCCCACCACGGCTCCCCTTGTTTCTATTCAACTGATTTAACCCAATTGGAATAAGTCAAGACTCTGCTCTTGAGGTACTGGTAAGTGATGAGGAAACTTTCAGAATAGATGGAGTGGCTGGGGTGTGTGTGGAGGCTGGGCATATGGCTGGCTTCTGTAATCCAGTAGAGGACCAAACACTAAGCCATAAGGAATCTCTTAGAGCGGCACATCTGCCCTCAGCAGACCTTACTGGGAAGGATGGATGGGTGGAGGATATGGGGTAGAAGAGCCTCCCTTGCTTTGAGGACGAGGTAGTACTGTGGTCAGGTTGCCACAGCAGCTCCTGATCCACCTTCTGCTGTCCTGGCCTCTGTTTTCTAGCTTCCCCGTCTATTGCCCTTTCCTAAGTGGGTCCTACATTACTTCCCAATGGCTCCTCTGCTTCGACACCAATCAGCCTTTCCTTCTAAAAGTTTAACTCTGATCAGTACCATCCTGAGCAGAAACCACTGATGGTTCCCTAATGCCTAGAGAATAAGTCTTAAACTACAGCCTTTGAGAGGCCACTCTGAGTTTATGGTTTTTAGAATGCTGTCATACAGCTAAGACCTGGCTCAGGGGAGTGGGAAGGAGGTCACAGGCCCTCCTCTGTCTTTCCAGGTTTGTCCCTTCCCAGCTTCCACCTTCCCACATTGCCATCTCTTCTGCCCGCCTATATTATCTCCCACAATACTCATGTAAGTCATTTGCATATCTAAGGATACCCTGCTCTTGTTCATTCTGTTCCTGCCTCCCAGGATGCCTTCCTGCCCATCATTAGCTGTTGAAATCCTACTCTGTAAGGCCCATTTCCAATGTCATCTCTTCCAGGAAGCCTTCTTAGAACCATACTGTCCCTCTCCTGTCACAATCCATCCATGTGTTCTCCAGGCAGTTACAACCTGGGGGACCCCAGGGCTCCTCAAATGCAAAGGATTTATGTTGAGCCTTCTAGGATCCCTGAGACCCTAGGGAGATCCAAACCTTAGAAATGCTGAGGAGTTAGAAGTATCTGGCTCCTCAGCTGGACTGTCTGCAACTTTAAGTCTGGAATCTCTGTGTTTAGTAACACGTAAGTTTAGTAACGTAAGTGCTTACTAGGTGCATGAACTTAGCTGAATTTGTGAAGTCTATTAAATGATGTGAGAATTGTATTTCTCTTCATGACAGTGGGGCTGATGACAAGGGAAGCTTCGAAGCTGACAAGCTAAATAAAGGGTCCAGGAATCCAGAAAGGTTACCAAGATGCTGCTGACCACCCATCCCTCTGTTAGGTTTCACCCGGAGTTCCCAAAATATATCCTATCTATGGGCCAGAAAAGCCGGTTGTTGAGCCTCAGGCAAGAACCTAGACAGGAAACTCCCAGTGTGGATTCAGGCAAGCCAGAGGTGAGCCAACACAGGCAGAGATAAGAATCAGGAAGGTGGAGTAAACTCATCCTACAAACTGTGCTTGAGCTGTGCTCTCTCCTGAC